CCAAGTGTGTATAAGCGATTTATTATGTGAGAAAATCTCCTTTGCATGTCCGCAATGGTTTCACCATGCTTCATGTGAAAGAGATTAAACTCTTGAGTTAAAGTGTTAATCCTTGATAATTTGACATTGTTTGTACCTTCATGGGTAACTTGTAAAGCATCCCACAAGTGCCTAAACCGGAAGCACAATGGGATGAATTTATGATTAAAAAATTACAAGTGTCTAAGTTGAATCACGACCATACGTTTGAAAAGACATGAGTTGATATTTATCAGAGTCACAAATACAAAAGGTTTTCTGACTTAAAATGTTTCTGACCAAGATATACTTTAACTTGTAGAAGTATCAAGGCAGATTACATAACTAGAGACAACTGGGATAGATGATAAGAGATTCTAACATTTCGTACTTTAATTTTGAAGACATTACTTTTCTCATTAACTTTATTTCTGAAGATCCATTTGATTCCAATGACGTGAGTCCCTTAAGACTTGAGCATTGGATTCCAAACATTATTTATGGATAAATTATTCAGCTCTTCTTGCAATATAAAAATACATTCATTATCCTGAAGTGCTTCTTGACTAGAAGTTAGTTTTATTAAAGACACTCCTCCCAGAGGCATTTCCTCAGATAGCTTGAATGTAGATCTTGTTCTGACAGGTTCAACTTTATCTCCCATAATCAAATCTTGAGATAATACTTGTTTTATGAACATTCAGGTGCTGCTGATGTATCATCCTATTTATTTGAGATCTTTATCCTCAGAAACTATACCATTTTTCCTTCAGAACCAACTGTTCCAGATATTTTTATATTTCATTTATGATCTCCTCCAACACCACTGAACCCAATATATTTAAGTTCCAGGTTTTTGAACATATGCTTTTTCCTATCATGTGACATGAGCAACTAGATTCATGGTACCATGACTGGTGCCTTAACTCTTCCGCATAGGATATATGCAACATACACTATTTTAAATTTTGGTACCCAGAATCTTTTGGATCCTTTAGAATTAGTTTTCCTGGAGTTTCTAATAAACTTGGGTTTTTGTGCATCATTAAACTCTTGTGTCTGTGCAGAGGTGTAAAGATAATAAAAAGGATATTCAGGTTTGTTTTCTTGATTGTCTTCATAAAAAACATAACCAATTCCTCTTTTCCCATTATGAATGACACCATAGATCATTGAAGCCATTTTTCTTCTCCCTATATTGTTGTTCAAGAATTTCTGGAATTCCATATCATATTTATATAAGATTGTTTCAGAAGATGGAAGTTCTTTAGAAAGCGTTTCTTCAAGTTTTAAACATTTATTGTTCAGAAAAACATTTTCTTTTTCTAAAATAAAATTGTCTCCTTTTTGTTAAGAAATTTATTTCTCTAGCTTACCATATTATTCAATTTCATATTCATGAACATTATGAAGTTTCTTGAATTTTTGTTGAAGTTTCTAATACCTACTCGGAGATTCTGACAAATATAATTTTAATTCAGCACGAGAAAGTTCAGAAAATACCTCTTATAAGTTAGACTCAGTTTTTGTGGTGTCTCCTTCTGACTTGGTAGCCATGAATGGTATGTTAGCATGCTCTTCTTCAGATTTTGATCCTTCGGAGTCTGATTTATCCCATGTTTCTATAAGACCTTTCTTATTGCCATTAAAACTACTTTTCTTGAAGCTTTCCTTTCTGGTGCTTTTTATCTTGAGTATTGGACATTCATTTATGTAGTGTCATGGATCATTGCACTCGTAACATGTTACTTTCTTTCTTGCTCTTTCTCTTACAGATCTTTCTGGTATATCTCCTATATTTCTGGATACTCTAAAGTTGTTTTGTCTTTCCTTCCAGAGTTGCTTGACTCTTCTAGACATAATGGGACAATTCATCTTCGTCATCAGAAAATTCATCGTCAGAATCTTCTACTTCTTTAGCTTGGAAGGATTTGTACTTTTATGACTTGGGTCTTTCTAATCTTGATCTTAGAGCAAAATATTTTCCTCTTTTCTAGGGCTCATCTTCCTCTAAATCTATCTCACGACTCTTAAGACAACTAATTAACTCTTCGAGAGTTATGTTGTTCAGATCCTTAGCCAGCTTCAGCATAGTAAACATTGGTCTCCATCTCTTGGGAAGACTTCTGATGATCTTCTTGACATGATCAGTTGTGGAGTAACCTTTGTCCAGAACCTTAAGTCCGGCTACTAAGGTTTGAAACCTTGAGAACATATTCTCAACTGTTTCTTCTTCTTCCATCTTGAAAGCCTCATATTTCTGGATTAAGACCAAAGCCTTAGTTTCCTTGACTTGAGCATTGCCTTCATGTTTTATTCTTAACAAACAAAAAATATCCTTAGTTGTATCTCTATTGGTGATGTTCACATATTAATTATAAGAAATAGAATTGAGAACAATAGTTCTAGCTTTGTGGTTATTTTTTCGATCACACTTTTGTGCATCATTCATTCTGTTATGGGAATGGGAATACCAATCACACTAACAAGTGCCTCATAGCCATTTATAACAATATCCCAATGATTAATATCATATCCCAGAAAGAAACTTTCTAGTCTATCAATCCAGTAGTCAAATTTATCTCCATCAAAAACAGGAGGCTTAGCATTGTAACTATCTATTTTGTTTGTGCTAGAAGCGACCACTTAACTTTTTCTCACACTGAACCTCTCTACACGGTTATGTGTTTGATTGGAAAATCAAAAACAAAGTCAGAGCTCTGATACCAATTGAAGGTAGAGAAAAACACAAGAAATTGGTGGGTTTGAATTGGATTTTCGAAAAAAAATTCTTTAGAAATGTTTTTCACAAACAATAAGATAGACAATGGAAGAAATAAAAATGAAACAATTGGTTTATACAAGTTCACCTTAAACAAGGCTACTCTTGTCCACCCGCCAAGGTGATTTTGCCTTCAAAAAGTACTTAATCCACTAATCTTGAAAGATTACAAACAACTTCTAAGAGTTTAGAAAAACACCTTAGCCCTCTCAAGTATACATACTACAACTTAGTCACTTGAGGAAACAAATATCAATAGATTTACAATCAAACAATGTTTACAATAGTACTTCTAAAATACATATTTAACACTATAGTGAAGAACAAATGTTTACACACAAATATGAGCAGTAACTCTTATGTATACAACAATGATAATTAAAAACACAAATATGAGCAATAACACCTTGTATTTTTAGAGAATAAAATTTAACACAAAAATGAGCAACAACTCTTTGTGTTGTGATTTTCTCTTGAGTATTTTCTCTCTTGAATTTCTTTGCACAGTAACTTTTCTTTTCAATTTTTTGGATAGTGAATATTTGATTTTCAATGAAGTAGTCATCCCTTTATATAGGCTGAGAAAGTAGACTGTTGGATAGTATAAAACGTCACTTTCATTTGACAGATGCTACAATAGTAGTGTGTGATTATGGGAGACAAGAGCACAACAAATCTTCAATTTTACAAATATTTCTTCACCATAGTGGAATAGGTCTTGTACTGATTATTATATTCTTCTTGTGCAAGTTTCTGATCTTTTCTTCTAGTGAGATACTTCTGATCTAAAGTAGTGAAGAGAGTGCAGAAGAGATCATGTTCTTGTTCTTAATCTTCTGATGAAGTATTTCTGATGTGAAATGATGAATATTCCAGAAGATGTTTCATTATAATGTTCCCAAAAATATCAAATTCTTCAAAATCAGAACCTTGTCTCCAGACTCGGATCAATAGCTTGTCTGACAAACAAATCTTTATTTTTGAGCTGGAAGCAAAAGCTTATTTGATGAAACATGTCTTTGATTATGAGCTTAAAGAAAAATCTTACATATAGTTCCTTTTCTTATAAACACATCTAGACTTATGAGCTAAAATCAAAAGCTTATCTGAGAAGCTCATCTTGGTTTTTGATCTAGAGTAAACACGTATGTTCTCTTCTAGAAAACATTCAACATTCTTCAAAACTGCTGATATTTCTTGAGAAGTGAATAAGATAGTTCTTATGATGGTGCCAACAATGATTCTAATGATCTTATCATGAATCAAATAGAATATTATTTCTGCACACTTAAAGAAACTATTAGAACACAAAATTGTTACATATAAAATATATGCATTGTTATCATCAAAACTAGAGATTAGATCCAAAACAAAATCGTGTTATAACATAATTGTCCTAGATAAACTCTACCTTTCAATTTGCTTATCTAAGGTGATCATTCATCTGCTCTAACTCAACTTGGTCATTCATATTCATGGTTGTCAAACTCGTGGGTATACTCGTAAACTCGTATGAGTTTACGAGTCTAGGAAGCATAAACGAGTAGACTCGTGCATAAAATCATTTTTTGATAAACTCGAGTAGACTTGGATAGACTCGCACAAAATCGTATAGACTCACGAGTCTATCACTAGTTTATAAGTTTATCCGTTTTTTTATTGTTTTTTTAAACCAAAAAGGCCCAAAATTTCCTAAAAAGAATTTATTTTATTTTTTAAAAATCTTTTTTTTGCTTGTACAGGACTTAGAAAGTCTCTCTCCAAGTCTCTCTCACATGATTTCTACGGAGATATGATCCATAATTATAGAGATTTTCAATTTGTGTTCAAAGCTTAACTTGTAGCTCCTTTGGTTGTGAACAGAACTAGTGTTCCTTTGAAATGATAATGAATTATTATTTTTTGTTTATAGACTTGATTTTTATATTTTTAGAAATATTGAGTTTAATTAGTATTTACTTTGTAAGTTCATTCAAAGAGAAGGAATATGTTGTATAAAAAAAGATTAATAATTTGGTTTATGTCATTTGAAATTTGAAGTTGAAAAGTAGATAAGGGAAAACAAAGAGTGTCGTTCTTTCATTTGAAGATATTCATTCAGATGAAGAATGGATAATTGAAGATCCTAATGAAGAAAATATGCAAACTGAATTTAATTTTGAGTAAGATGATGTTATTGATAACAGTGTTATGGAAGTTGATGTTGTTGTTACTAATGTTGTGCAGTGGTAGTGGTGGTAATGTTGAATTAGGTGGAAGTGGAACTTCAAGAAATCCAATATTGGTTAATCATGAAGAAGGTGTTTCATCCAGGGCATATTTTGATGATGATACTCAAGATACTGATGAAAAAGATGGTGATGATATTGGTAGTGATCATTCACTGGAGTATGAAATTTCTATTGTTTGTTTTATTATCGAGTATTTTTTTAAGAAATCTGTCATGGAGTATGAAATTTAAATTTTGATATTAATTTTTGTTCTATTATATATATTTGTGTCATATATGAGGCATTTAAAAGTTTAAAAATATAGGAGCGTGTCATATATATGTTACTTATAGGTTTTTGAAAGTCATTTTTGATTTTCCATAGACTCGTACGAGTTTGCGAGTCGAGTCTACAAACCCTTAACGAGTCTGAGTAGACTCGTGGGTTTGACAACCTTGTTCATACTCATGCAAGACAAACAAAGCTCAACTTTACTAGTCAATGTGCTTAGTTAAGCATGTATATTAAGTGTGTCTAGTACAACTTAGTGATAAGTTCCAAATTGTGTTTTTTAGTGTGAATAATTGGCACTTATTGGTTTGAATATTTAGTTTTTCTTGCAATAAACCTCAACTAATTGTAAATAAGTTTATATTGTGTATAATCGTGTTTTTATATAAATATTATTTGATTGATTGTTTTTTATCTCATTTTTGTAGGTATTCAAGCAATGATATTTAGTCATTTTAATAAATATGAATGAATAATCTTTCCAACACTTCAAACTGTGCGTAAATCGGAGTTACGGTTCTCAAGTTATGGGGAAAATAAGCTGGTTTTTTTCTCGACACAACGGAGTGCACTAAGCGGGCCTCTGATATGGCTAAGTTGGATTTGCGGATTTTAAAGTATATAAATAGAGTTTCAAACACATTTTTAGGTCACAGTTTGGGTATTTTTGAGTCTCAACACCATCACAACTATTATTTAGTAAAATAGCTTAGAAAACAACATTGGAGGTTGCATTTCGATGATCCGGAGTTGAATCTCCATCAATCGGTGTTGACAACCCAGGAGATTCCTATTTATCTTCATTATTATCTATGTATTTCTCTATTTTTTATGTTTTGTTTGTAAGCTTGCTTTGAACCTATATATATATATATATATATATATATATATATATATATATATATATTTGTTGATCATGGTGTTATATAACGCTTTCTTTACAAATCAATCTTGATGTCTTCCTTAATCTTTTTGCTTTGTGTTAGGATTTGTGTTGTTATAGACATATACCTCACAAATTCTGATTAGGGATGTATGATGCGTTGGGAGAACTGACTTGAGGTTTTGCATTTTGTCACAAATGTCGCGGTTACCAAGAGTCGCCACCGACTTTTCTTTTATTTAAAAGGAAAGGTAAAAAAGCACAGGAAAGACCTTTGAGATGTTTTCTTGAGTTCGGGGGATAGATTATGAAAAGGGAAGGTGCGAGCACCCTTTTCATCCATGGTTTTCCATGGGCTCTTAGTTACTTGCTTAGATCACTTGCTTTGGTTTGTTTGAAATGGTGTTTGATGTGTTTTTGAAAGTATTTTGTAAAAGCGGCCATTCGTTTAGGAAATCTTTGTAATGATTCTTGTTCGTAAGAATGTATACAAAGATGTTTGTCTTTTGAAAATGTTTTCAATGTTTTGTAAGATGTTTTGAAATGTGTGTGTTTGTTTTGAAAATAGCAAGGATTGTTTGAAATGGAGCAAGTAACTTAGAAGCTATCTACCTACTCAAATGTCTTTCTTGTACATTTTCTATTCCTTTGACATTGTTGACTTACCATTGATTTTGGTAAACAACCCTATCTTTGGATGTAAACGGGACGGGCGTGGGTCATCGTATAACCATGATAGCAATGTTGCCAAGTATCTTAGCATTTTTGAGGGACCAAGATCATTTTGATTAGGCAACTTTTTGAATAGCGTCATCGAGGGACTATGATCTTATATTTGTTTTGTTTTGCCAAGATACTTCGCGTGCATAACATGACCATTTTATTTTAGGCAACCAAGTGGGAGAAACCCTAATGGTGCTTGTGTGCAAAGTATATCATTTTCATGCTTTTGATTTTGTCTTGTATTTAGGGTTTTCTATTTTGCTTTGTTTTGTTCTTGTCATGCAAACCCTAATTACTAATCATGGCATTTAAAGCGATAAATTGCGTAATGTAAATATACTAAGCTATTACAACAATTTTTATGGGAGGGGGGAATACAAGTTTGAATGGGGATTTGCACAAATATAAAGCTAAATATATTATTACAACCAAATCGAATTTGCGCGATTTAAATAAATATAATACAAATATTTAAAATGCAATGCAATGTTCATGTTAAAAAAATGTTTTATGTCTTGTTTTTGTGTAAGAAAAATATTTAATTTAAACCTAAAAAAAAGGAAAAAAAATATTTAATTCTTTTTGAAAGGGATTAAACCCTAGTTTTCATTTAAAAGAAAATAATGTTCTATATTATTATTTTGTGTATTTTTTGTATAAAAAATAATAAATAATATTGTATATGAATATTAAAAATTAAATATGTGCAAATATTGGTATTTGTAAGTATAAAAATATAAAATATAAAATATATAGTATATTTAATTAATTATGAGTTTATTAAGAAAATAAATTCTATTCTATCAAAATAAATTAATTTTTTATGTGAGAAATAATAAAAAAATAAAAATAAAAGTGTGAAAATAAATAAATCATTGTTTAGTATTTTTTTATCATTTAAGAAAAATAACTAAATTTATTAAAATATGAAAATATAAAAAAAAACATAAAAATATAAAATAGTTAGCCAGGGAGGTGCAACAACAAGTCAGGGGTGGTGTTTAGCAAAAACAAAAAGGCCCAAGCAACAAAAAACCCAAAACCAGACTTCATCCCTATCCTTCGTTCTCTTATTCACGCTTCTGCTAGTCAACCTGTAACTTCCTCATGCTTGCATAAAAATGAAAACTCATAACATGAAAAATGTGGCATTTGAGCTCACGATTCCAACCATATAAATTATGTAACCTAACTATCAAAAATCAAAGAGAATTTTGGAATCCCTAAATCGTGACCTAATTTTTTCAGAGATTTCAAGCTTCAAATTGTCTTAGCACGAGTAATATAAATGCAAAGTAAGGATATGTACAACTTCGTTATGATGAGAACTACATTTTTTTCTTCACAAATCGTGGCTTAAGGTTGCCTGTATAAAGAGATAGAGTTTAAGAAAATACCTCCTTCAGCTGGAATCGTGTATGGCAATGTAGGGACTTTATTGGAGGCCTGATGATTGCTTGAGCTTCCTTGAGCTTCCCTGAATCTATTCCAACCCTTATCTTGCTCTGAGGATGGCTGGAACTCCCTGGCCAAGTCCAACTGCAAGCTTCCAAGTTGAAAATGGCAGATGATGAAACAGAGGTTACAGAACCAGGGTGATGGCTTGGATTGACTAGGTATCAAGTGTATAAGATGTTTGAATCAGTTAAACACAAAACGCACGAGCCAAATGAGAGTTGGCTGAGCTTTTGCAGAAACTGTGTGCTTAGGCAGATTTTTGGTGTTTTTCAGTTTGAGAGAGTTATAGGTTCAAGCCAATCGTGTAATGCCTTGTACAATGTTTGCATATTAGTATAGAAGTGATTCAAAGTCAGCTTCCTACTAGTTGTGCAAGCTTTAGCCCTTTTGCAACTTTTCTTGTACTTGAAGTAAAGTTGACAAGACCAATCTAACATGCTTGTACCAGCTTGCTTTAGGGTTGATATATGTTTGTAACAATTTCTTGAGACCTGTATAGTTTTCTTGTATCAAGGGGACAGGTCCAATGCTCCAAGTTGACAAAGTTGCAAAAGTGCATCTTTATGAAAATGACAATGAAGCCTTTTTGCCCAAAATGGAATTACAACTTGTGTAAAGTTTCAAAAGCAAGGATAAAGGCTTTGTCAACTGAGTATGCATTTAATTAAGGAGTGTGTAGAAAGTTTAGGACCTGTAAAGCAAGAAATATCCAGCATAGGTTTGGTTTGCAACTTGGTTCTATGTGAAAATGGCTTGAACAAAAAGTGAGAAAATGTCAACTTCCTCCCTTTGATTCTCCCTACTCAGAAATGATCTTGGAGAGTTCTTACATATTTTGGAAAGCTTGCAATATGATCTATAATCCATATTTGAAATGAATTTTGAGATACCTCTTGGAACTAGGTGAAAAGTTGCCATGAAGTTGGGTCCAAAACCTGCCTAAATTAGGGCAAAATTTCACTAAGTTATTTAGTTCATGAGCATGTATTCACAAATTTATAACTTGAGATCTAAGCATATTTAAGGAAAAGTTTGTAAAGCAAAGTTGTATATTTCATAGAGGACTCCAACTTTCATGTTTGGAACTTTTCTTGAATCAAAATGCATCATGGTGAAAAAGTGGTGAAAATTTGAGAAAAAATAAGAAAAATTTTTAGACTTAGAAAAATTCTAAGTTATGAAAATTTTCAAATTCAAACCCTAATTTTCAAATTTGGTTTTCTTGGTGAAAAAGTTTCATATTTTTACATATTTTGATGAATCATGACCCTTGGTACTTGATTTTGACAAAAAAGTCAAAGTTTGACTTTTCAGTATACAGTTGACTTTTGATCAGTTGACTGCAAATTTCATATGTCAATCCAATGAACTTGAGATCTTTTGAACCATGCAATTAGGTAAATATGATGCCATTGAACCCTTTAAATCATGTTTGAACTTAATTGGTCATTGACTAGGTTAAAAATCAGAAATTGCCCTTTCTCAATTAAAACCCTAATTTTGACCATTTTGCCCTTTTGATGATTTGATCAAATTTCTTGAGGTGTTGTGATCCAAACTTGATCAAATGGTACATATGAGTTTAAAATGTTGATGTGGATCAAAAATTATGAAGTTTGACTGTAAATTGGCCACAGTTGACTTTTTCCCCAATACAACTGATTTTTAGGTCAACTGTCCAATTGACTGATCAAAAAATGTGGTTCAAGGCTTGAAACTTAACATGAGCAATCTTAGGGGTCCAAAATGATGTATGAAAGTCAAATGAATCATTGATGGTCCAAAAATCCTTGTGCAAACTCAAACCCTAATTTTGGGTTATTCGTGCAAGATGAGATGTCTTGAGCTGACCAAGCCCTAATCTTGTCTTGAGTCCAAGAAGTCTTGTGAGAAAAG